GCACGTTTCGGCCCCCGGAGGGAGCGCCGGGACCCGGGGCGACGGAGGCGCCGAGGCGTCCACCTCTCCGAGCGGCCACGGGCCAGAGGACAAAGCACGGGCAGTCCTGGGAGTTCCAATCCCTGGGAACGTGCCTCTGGCGCCGCGGGAGGTCCCGGAACCGGGTCCCAAGGATGGACACACCCCCTCCCAATCCGGAGCCACTGCATAAGCACAGGAGAATGAAAAGAAAATGTTTCTTACGGACAGAGCACAACTATTCCTGTGCTGTTACCCGGAGAGAGAAAATAGGGAATGGAGAGAGCGACTGGCTCGCTGGAGCAGCGGGGATGCCATGGTGGTGGGGTGACCGCCCCGGGTCAGCGCCACGCTCCCCACGTCCAGCCGCCCACCCCGGAGCCCGCATCACCCCCTCTGGCCTTTCTGCAGACGTTCCCAGGAAACTAGGGAAGACCTGTTGGAAATAAACCCCTGTCTCTTTAATGCACCCGCGCGCGCGCGCGCGTACACACACACACACACACACACACACACACACACACACACGCTACCGCTGTCAAAAAGCGGGCTTCACTCTGGCGTGGGATACTTTCAGTTTTTACGTAAAATGTACAGCAACAGCACCCCCTGCGATTGGAAAGTTTATTCGGAAACGTGCCTACAGTGTCCCCCGGCGTCTCCCGCCTCCCAGCCTCCCTGCCGGCCTGCGCCACCCTGTAGCCTGGGCCGCGGAGACCGCGCTGCAATTGCAGATCCGGAAGGGCAGGGGGGCGAGGGAAGGGACTGCCGTCCGAGGGGGGCGCGGAGCGTGCTGGGTGCAGGCGGGCCACCGTGGCCCGCGAGACTCCGAGCTGCAGGTGGACGTGCGTGAGTGTGTGTCTGCAGAGCGAGGAGCCTCCTTCCGTCTCCTCCAAGCAGCTCCACAGCCCCTCGTGGCTTCTCTTTCCCCTCCTCAGTCTAAGGGACTTGGTTTTCGTAAACTCGCCCACCCGGCAGGGGGCTTTATTATTTTAAGCAAGGGCCTGGGCTGGCACGGGCGCACCCACCTCCCAGCCGTGCCGGCGAGCGGCTGTTTATTCATGTGTTGTCTTAGTAAAGTTTCAAACCTATTGGAAAATGACTGGCTTGCCTAGCTCAGCGAAGCTTCGGGTTCCTGTAAGGAAGAAAAAGGAGTTTTGACGCGCAACATTAGGAGAGATGTGGGCTGGACTGCATTTGTGTAAACGTGGTTTGTTGTTTCTCTCCAGTTTGGCGGGGGGTGGGAGGGGGGGGACTCAAATCCTGTTTAAGAAGCAGGAAGATTCACTTTCAGTAAAGCTCTGTAGCGTGTACGTTACACCATTTCCCCTTTTTCATGAGTTCTTCAGAGCAGGTCAGCATCTCTCTGCCACTACTATTTTTTTTTTTTTTTGTCGAGTTAAACTTAGAGCAACCAAAAGAATGTCCTTGCAGGGTGGGGGAGGCGGGGAGGAGCGAGGCTAAGAGAAGAATAGTTCGAAGGAGGGGAGGAGAGGGAAGAAGAACGTGCCACTGGGAGGCCTTTGAATAATAAAGTAAATAAAAGTCCCTTCAGGTAACAATAGGGAGTCAGATTCTTTCGGGACCGAGCCTTTCGAATTTAAATATTTTCCCCATCCATCCATAAAAGTCCACATATAGAGAAGGTATATCAATGGGCGAGTGTGTTGTGGAAATATATATGTATGATTTATATATAATGGTGTGTATAAAGCTTTTCAGGGGTTGGCTGCAGTGTAAAAAGTAATGACTTTATTACCTCTGAAAGGTTGTGTGGTTCACATTTAACAGTCTTCAGAATTATAATTCATTACACAGTTGTGTGCTCTCTACAACCGGGACCCTATCAGGGCCGCTATCTGTGGTTATTTCCAATAAATAACTGGCAACATTTTATTGATTTTCTTTTTAAAAAGAAAACATAGGAAATTAAGCACTTAGTTACAAGTAGGTCTGCTAGTCTGCTATGTTATTGCACTTGCTTCAGATTCTAGGGGGGTTCCTTCCTAAACCACATCTTAAAACATACATTAAAAACCTAGTTTTGCAGCTGCTTTCCCTGGGTGCCAATGGAGAGGTAAGCAGTGACATTTCCACCATTAACATATATTTAATTTTACCATCATAAAATACCCAGAGTGAAATAGGAACTGCCCTCCACTCCCGCCCCTCCCCCAGCCTGATTTCACCCAGTCCAGAAACCCAGAACTGTGTGTAGGCATTTGGTCCCTTCTGGTCGCGGACCCCAAGTCACAGTACCTCGGGCTCGCCCGAACGAGTGATGCCCCCTCCCTTAATGTGGCTGGATGGCTGGATGCTCGCTAAAGCGCCCAAAAGGGGGGGAGGGGGAGGGTTTGTCTGATTGCTTAAAGACATAAAGATGTGTTGTTTTAAGAGGTTTTAAAATATTACATAAGTATTGATTAATGATGCAGGTGGTTTTGTAGAGAGGTGAAAGGTCACTTTAAACGAGCACACTTGGATACACAAGAAGCATATTTACCTTTCCAAAAGTGGCTTTTAGAAAGTAATAAATTATGACTACGTTAAAATTATTTTCTGACCGTTCAGTTAACTTCATTTGGAGCTGCAGAACCTTTGCTGATTCCACTAAGGGGGTAATACCCTCCGTGGGCTCTCTCCCAAACCTTTGGTGACGACATGGCGTGTAAACTCCAGGCCAGCAGACGACCCCTCCCCTCCCCTCCGCCCCCTTTTTATCTTGCCTGCGGAGGAGACTCCCCAGGACTTCCTGCAGTATATATTCTGCCTCTGATCTCCCTACTTAATAGCCAAGTCCTGGTTTATGCTTTATAATGTGTTGACAAGTTTTCTAACAGACTTTCTGAAATAATGCACATATATTCACGTCGGTTAGAAACCCACCGTATTTTTAGAGTCGAGTAGATCTATACCCTAATGCAGTGAGAGAGTGTAAATCATCGAGGATTTCATAGTCCTTTCAGTAGTTTTCGGTATGAAGTATGAGCCGCGTGGCCTCCAGACGTAACCTTTTAGAAAAAAAAGACAGTGCTTTTATTTTATGGTGTAAAGTGCTTTTAGCTCCAGGGCTCTGAACGTGAACGTGGTCAACAAACAGCTCGAAGAGGGAGACTTAATACAGTCCCAGCCCTCGTGCCATGGATCGCCTGGCGCGGGAGACTCCCGCTCAGGCTGAGCCGGAGAAGGAAGGGTTAAAAGGTCTGTCTCGATGGAAACTACAAGATTAAAATAAAATATTCACTGCCTGCCTTTAGGGGGAAATACCTTTATAGACTTAAAGATAAATAAATGAATGGCTGAATGAATGGTTAAAAATACTATCGATCCCACCTTGCTTTTCACTATTTTTCCCCCCTAAAGGCAGGTCAGAAAATAGAGAATGGGCAGTCATCGTCATAAAAATGAAACTTAGGTACGGATTCTACACTTAGCTTAGGTTTGCATTTGGGGGTTCTTGCTGGTGGGAGTGCTAGGATGTTGTTAGGACAAAGGAAAATTAATTGAAATGAGAAAGGGGGATGGGGGGGAAGGAGGTGGGCTTTATGTGGGCACCTAAATTGAAAGGTGAGCAGAAGGGCCACATTTCTTCCTCCTCTACTTCCAGTGTGATCCAGAGTCTGGGACCTAAGGAGGCCCCTGGGGGGCAGTGTCTACAACTTCTACAAAGGCACAGACTTCCCCCAGGGAGGTTCCTGGGGCAACACTTAGTCTGGTATTTCTCCAGAGGCTCCCTGGGCCTTTGGCTGGCTGGCAGGCAGGCCACCTCACATACCTGGATGAACCTATCCAAAAAATAAGAGGAGGGAGGGAGGGAGGGAGGAATCAAAAAGCTGAATCTGCTCTAAATAAGCCTATACTTGCCTCCAGACTGGGCAGCTGTGTGCTGAGTCAATAATGTGTAGGGAGAGGGGAGCAGTAGTCTCACCACTTAAGAGGCCCCTTTTAAGACAACAAGGAGTTCTGTTTAGAACACTGCTAGGTGAAATAGTCAACTCCCTAACATTGACTTCAAACACACACAGCTGCGGGGCAATGAAGCCAGACCAATGTCCTGTGTTAGAGATGTCTTCATGCAATACTCAGCACATAGTAGATGCTCAATAAATGGTTTTTGAGTTTAACAGTGAATAAATCCTATCACTACATAAATGAAACCAATGTAACCATCCAAACTCCATTAGTCACCCCCCCCCCCAAACTAATAAGGCTTTGATCAGGCAACCCTATTAAGAGTGCATCTCAGCCTGAAAGTAATTCCCACCAAGGATGGTGAGACTTAAAGAAATTTAATCCCAAATATCAGAGCAGCTGAACAATTAAGAATACAGTGCAAGATATT